TCCTTCACTCTTTCACCATTTCTTTCGAATGGAACAGTGTACAGCTGCTTCATATTCATTTGGTGTCTTTTCAGCACCCTGTCAATGGTTGAGATGCTGACTGTTTGAATGTTTGCAAAGATGTTGTTGTCCTCTATAATGGCACTCCTTATCTCCCTTAGCCTTAGGGCATTGTTTTCTACAACCATGGTGCAAATAGCCTCCTCCTGTTCAGGTGTGAAAAGGGGCCCTCTGCCACCCCTGTGAAGTTGTCTTGCAGTCCTATGTGGAATAAATATAGTAATGCAAAATACAAAATCCAGGAAGATAACATGTCACTGTATAAAGTATAGGCCTACTTACTGTATATTGTAAAATGCAAGTGGAATACTGTAATATTGTATGAAGCATTACAGAACAGTGCCTATTGTTAGATTACATACCTGTTCTGTCGAAGAAAAATCTGAATGATTGAGGACACAGTTGTTCTCCCAACATTTGGCTGCACCCTTCGACCAGGCTCAGTCATTGTAAGCCCATGGTTGACAACATGGTCTACAAGTGTGGCTCTTATCTCATCAGGAACACGCATATGTCCTCGGCCTCTTCTGCCTCTTTCTCTGTTTTGCCTCCCAACTCCTCCACCACGCAGCCTCACTCCTCTTCTTCTTCTTCTTCTTCTTGTTCTTCTTCTTCTTCTTCTTCTTCTTCTTCTCTCTGGCTGTTGACCCCATCCAATTCCTTGTCCTTCCATTGTGTTGTGCTCCAGCTATATGTATACTGTACTTGCCAGTTGATGGTTCATGAGATGCACCTTCGTTAGGGAAAGTCAAGATTCACCTGGGAGCAATTTACCAATTCAGGACAGATTTAGAAAAAATGGAAATGTATAGAAATATGCTTGTCATATTATGACAACTTGTTCAACCATTTTGCATTTAACGACTTATACGATGAACTAATGACTAGATGTTTTGAGGGGTAAGACTATTTCACAGTGAACTATATAATACATTTTGATCAACATGACATAAACAATTGATAATGTAGGAAACAGCAGAGAATTGTACATAATCATTTGCATGGATGTACCAAAGCATTTGCAACTTCTTCAGACAAATTAGAAACTGCTTTTTTGATGTGCACAAGAGACACAATGATGTGAAGATTGAACAGGTAGTTTTGAGAATTTCAATTCTGATCTGAGAAATGTACCAAAGTGACTGAGGAAAACTGTAATTTAAATCTGAGCTGTGATCTGAGTCTGAACTGATAAAGTAGCCTATATTCGAATCAGCTCCTTCCCCACTCTCTCTCTGTGATTTTGAAACTGGTTGCTGAGGTTTCTTTTCTCTTCTTAACAACTGTTGTGTGTCCAGCAGGCTGAATATAACCAGAATTCTCTAGTTCCTAACCATCTTTCTGCCTAACATTCCAGCTATCCAACCCCCCCCTTTTTAAATCTCTCACCATAGCTGCAGATCTAGTGTCATGGTATCAACAGGCAGTTGTTCTGTCTTTGTGTGTGATTTTAGATGTTCCAATAATAGCAGGTGCAGTTTCTGGCTTCCACATCTAAAATGAGTTTATTGCTAAATTAGTTATACAGTTATTAAATTCTTTTATATAGCACAGCAAAAAAAGGGGAAGCATGATTTATTTTTTTCTTGAAAGCAAAGCAAAGCAAAGCAAAGCCCACATTTAAAGATCAGTATGAAAATAAAAGTCAAAAAAATGAATGGTCTGATCATTTCACTGCATGCTCAAAGTAATGCTCATTGTTTAAACATAACCCGCACTGTTAATTTATTATGAGTCCATTTAAATGTCAGCCTGGGCCCTGTGACTTATTAATTGATCTCCATCACCTGTTTAATGGAAGATGCAGAAGGTAATTGACCTACTAATGATTAATGACCATAGTCCAAAACAGGTGCTGCTTATGCAGCTTGGTTTAATTATTATGCAGGGTCTCATCAGGCACAGATTTAGCTGTATAAATCTATAATATGGTGATATGGAAGAAAAGAGTTAGTATTTTTAACACTATCATTTTCTATGCATTTTCTTTTAATAAATACATACAGTACAAACACATATGGCCACAGTATGCTGGAACACGGTTGGTGAGCAGGCGGAGAGGGTTAATATTGGGGTTATGAAGAATACTGAGTCCCATTCTGCAGAAGGAGTAGCTCTTTCTCTCCCCTTTCCACTCTGGGTAAGTTATAAAGCATTGTTCTTTGACTATCACAGGCTTGCTTCTTCAGGAATACAACATTACTGGAGGCAGCAATCTGCAAAAATCACATGTCCAGGCAAAAGTCAGACAATTATGAAATGTCTGTTTGATTCAAAGTTAAATACAGCCCCACAAACTGCGAAGATTGATAATCAGTCTAATAACAATATTATGTTGAAATTGAGTTTCAGCCACACACAATTTATTGCTCAGGCATAATGTATCCTTAGGCACAGACATCTTCCCCGTGGTCATAAATTGTACATAAGCATAATCACTGACTCTCTCAGTGAGAGTTTGGGTTGTCAGAAGTCATGTAAGCAACAAACATAACTAAATATTCCCTGTTAAACTTCATAAAGTTTTTCCATTCCACCTTCTCTCATTGCTTATATGATCTTTGTAATCATATTCCCCAGTTGTAATCACTTTAAAAATGGACACCATACAGTGCAACTCAGTCTGATGCTACATATATTTGTAAACAAGAGTAATACATTTATTATAACTTATCATTGTAAGATGCTGCAATATGTTCAGGTCTGTAGCTTTGATTTGTTGTGATGACAACAATGAAAGGTAATGACAGTGATGAAGGCTGTGGTTGCTACAGGAGCAGCAGCACATGGCAGGATGAGGAGCACGTGGGTGTCATCTGTAGTTAACAAGAAAAAACATGCTACTTGTGAACTAGACCTGAAGTCACAGTGACACAGCATTTGAATGTTGTCTCATTTCGATGTGTGACATGTTTCTGAATATGATTTATTTCCATTTAAAACTGGATATATATACACATAGGTCCCACATCCTCCATATGTTACCCCTCTCACTGGGGTTACTTGTATAGTAGCATTCCAATAGGTCCTTGTTCTCCTCTCTTGCCCATGAACATCTTGTTCCAGTAGTGCACTTCTCATCAGGTTGCCCTGGTTCTTCAACACCGCAACATCCAAGCCAGTGTGACTCTTATTTTTCCAACTCTCATTGCCCCCATGAGGGGGGCAGGTAGCATTAAGGGCCCTAAGGACCTAGGCGGGATATTGACCGTGCTCTGACCGGAGTTCAAACCCCCACCCTTCAGTACCAAAGTCAGTGGTGTTACCCACTTGTCTATCCCATCTGCTAGGTGGTTGAGAATGACCAAGCTAAGATCCTGTGGGACTTCCAGATACAAACTGACAATCTGGTAATGGCCAACCAACCGGACATAGTAGTGGTGGACAAACAGAAGATGAAGGCCGTAGTGATAGATGTAGCAATCTCAAGCGATAGCAACATCAGGAAGAAGGAACACGAGAAGCTTGAGAAATACCAAGGGCTGAAAGAAGAGCTAGAAAATATGTGGAAGGTGAAGGCACAAGTGGTCCCCATGTTAATAGGAACATTGGGGGCTGTGACCCCCAAACTGGGAGAGTGGCTCCAACAGATCCCAGGAACAACATCTGAGATCTCTGTCCAGAAGAGTGCTGTCCTAGGAACAGCTAAGATACTGCGTATATATAAAACCGATCAACAGAGGATGCTGTCCCAGACAAACTGGCACTGAAACTGTACAATCTGGGAATGCCTGTAGTGATGCGTCATTGGATTAAGGGACTTTCTAACTAACAGGGCTCATGTGGTGAGAATCGGAAGCTGCACATCATCTACACTGATCCTGAACACAGGCACACCACAGGGCTGTGTGCTCAGCCCAGTTCTCTTCACTCTGTTTGCCCATGACCGTGATGCCATTCACTCCATAAATACAGTTGTGAAGTTCGCGGACGACACCACCATATTGGGTCTCATCTCAGACAATGATGAGACCCACTACAGAGAGGATATCCAGCACCTGACAAGGTGGTGTTCAGATAACCTTGTCTTGTCCTGAACACCAACAAGACAAAGGAGGTGATTGTGGAAGGTCCAGGAAGACAAAACATGCGCCTCCTCTCATACACAGGGAGGTGGTGGAGCAAGTGGACAACATGAAGTTCCTGGGCATCCACATCACATCTGACCTGACCTGGTCTCTGAACACATCCTACCTGGTGAAGAAAGCCCAGCAAAGGCTTTTCTTCCTCAGGAAGCTGAAACGCGCTGGTCTCTCCTCTCAGTTGCTCGCAAACTTCTACAGAGCGACAGTAGAGAGCATCCTCTGTCTCAGTGCGACAGTGTGGTACGGGAGCTGCACTGCACAGGACAGAAAGGACTTGACCTGGGTGGTGAGAACAGCTCAGGGCATTGTAGGAAATCCTCTTCTGGATCTGGACTCACTATACACAGACCGGATCCAGACGGATTGCTGCAGACCCCACCCACCCAGGCAGCAGTCTGACTTAGATACAGCTTCTTCCCCAGAGCTGTGAAATCAATCACCCCCCTAACCCCTAGTCACATGCACAACCTCCCCCCTATGGACAGACACAGACAGAACACTGGACCTCTGCAGACACACACCCATGCTCACACCTCTTCCTAAAGACAGAGATTTGCACTGAGCTGCACCTTATAATGTTACTACACTCTTGCTGGTAACATGCTGCTGACCTGATTAGGTCCCATACATCCCTTTTTATCTGTTCATATTTTTATATTGACTTATACAATTTTGTGCTATGTAAATAATGTGTCAGAAAAAAATTTGTTGTGTTATGCATAATGACAATAAAGATTCTTGACTCTTGATATTTTAGCAAGGACTTGTTTGCTTTTTGACTTGTGGGGAACTTACACATTCACTCTTCTCTAGATTTTTATTTTTTTGAATTAGAAAATGTTTTGAAAAAAAGAAAGAATTAAGGAAAAATCCTCTTACCCATCCTTAAGTCCCACATGTTGGTGAGCTTTGCTGTGGGGGTTGAAGAATTCAAACATAATCTCTGTGGGAACACCTGAGGCCAGTTCTCCACTGTCCCTAACAGGTGGCATTTCCCTCCATTTGATAGAAAACCAACTTCCCAGCAATACAATGCATGACTGAAATTGTCTTCATGCATTTCAGTCATGGGAACAACAATTAACTCCTGAACAGCAGGGGTTGGCCTGGGTCACGTTCCTGTCAGTGATTTGGACCAGCTTCTCAGACGTGACAGGTTTTATCTTTGTATTTCTCTGATTTGAGAAGGACAGCGTAGCTATATTAATATGTTTTAGTTAGCAGCAGGACATCCACATGGTGGTGCTAACAACCAAAAAATAACTAAACCAGCAGGGTATTCACAGTGACTTGCTACTGGGACTATTCCTAAATTTGGAGATTTAGCCAAATCATGATGTGATGGCTTTAAGTATCAGCAAAATCAGGTTGGTGATGATGCACTAGCAGCTATAATGTGATATGTCATCCCAGCAGGTCATGGCTGATGTTTCTAACACCATATGATGTTTCATAGCTTACATATGACACAACATAATTTTAAAAGAATCAGCATCTAAACACATCTTTTAGATGGTATGAAAACTGCATCTCATTCTGAAACCAACATAAATCCAAAAGAGCACACTGAGTATTTTGAATCCCATTTTGGTGGCCAGTTTATATATGACTTTGCCATAGAATAACGGTGGTGAAATATAATAGAGAAGGTTTACATTAACTTTACATTTACAAGCAGTGTACCTATATTTCCAGTCAATGCTAGGCTATTTCATATTTCTGTTCCACAACATTTTTCTTATAGCTATAGTTCCTAGTTACTTTGGGGCTTAATATTTTCCCTAAAATATGATGAATATAATATTTGTCAGAGATTAAACTAACCATCAGTATAAACTGGCTCTAACAACCAGTGCTGTAGTACTCAAAGCCAGGACTCAGACTTGAGTCCCCTGATTTTCAGGACTCATGACTCAGACTTGGACTTGAACTTCAGAGCTGACTGCATTCCGACTCAGATAACATAATACAACCTAATATGATAACAGTAGCCTGCTCACACTGGACCATTTATTTGCACAACAAAGGCCTTTGAGCCTACTTCTACCAAACAGCCTACAGCCAACTTAATAGGGCTACATTTGCTCCAACAGTGCAAACATTTGCGTCGTCTAAAAATCAGTGGAGCGTCTGATTTATTACACAGCTATGTCATTCGTCCCAAATTATTTTTTAAATTCGAAACAGACATGTAGCTTTTATCCCTGTCTTTTAACTTCTTATTCCACCTCGCCAGCTTTTTCCATAACACCTCTCGTGACGTCACGACGCCTCCTCCCCTCCCCGCCCCCCCGCACGGTGAAGTCTCGGCGTTCCCGTCAGTGTGTCCGCTACCAGCTGCCCACATGCACGGACCGAGGGCGCACATAGGGACGGGCTGTGCGATTTATTGTTCGGAGTGAGTTAACACCTGGATTGCGAAGCGTCTTTTTTATTTCTTTCTATTTGTTGTTGTTTCCGACTCTTGGGCTTAAGAAACAACCTGCCATCATGTCCATGTCTCGGGCTCCAGATGATGTGAGCAAGCTCACTGAAAGTACATTCAAGGTGAGTGATACTAGCAAATAAGGAAATAATTGGTCGACTTTATGCGTAGTTTGTGTTTAAGGCCGAGAAAGGGGCGGCTGTCAGTCTTCCAAAGTGAGATTGAGTCTGGCTTGTTGCATTTTAACTCTGATCACAAGACGCAGAGACTTAATGAAGTTACTAAAAGATTGCTGAGAGAGTTCAAGTGTGCCTGGTCCTAGTCATGAGTGTTTTATTTCCTTGTGTTAGCCTGCCTTTTGACTATATACCTTATATGACCCGTCCTGCAATACATTCAGCTGAGTGAGCAACTGAAACTTGTTTAAAAGGGAAAGTATTTATGAATACTCATAGTAATAATAATAATAATAGCCAGTGAAGACACGCCCTGTCATTTAATCACTTGGATACGTATTCATTTCAAATCAATTCAGTTTTATTTGTATAGCGCCAAATCACAACAAAAGTTGTCTCAGGACACTTTACACAGTGAGGTCTAGACCTTACTGTTATTATTATAAGGGCATAGCAAAGTACAGAAGCCTTCCTGGTGTCTGAGTGTGATGAGAGAGGCCTTTCTCAGCCCATGGATCAACCTGCTTAAACATGAGATTAGGGCTGTTTAATCAACCCAGATTAATCCAATCAAGTTTACAGGGACACTTCTTACATTTGATATGGAGGTGAAAGTGTGTGTGTGTGTGTGGTTAGATTTGTGGCTTTCTAGGGGCCACAAGGCAGATGGAAGCTATATAACTTTTTAGAGTAAAGTTCAAAAGGTTATTTAATTGGTGGGTTTGAATTGAACTGTAAAGATGTGTTGCTGCTGTTTTATACTCAGTGAAAGATCCTAACTGGTTTGGCAGTTGAACCTGTGTGTCTGCAGACGGACAGAGAGACAGTTATACCTGTTTGCAGTGTGCCACGGTTTCATTGGGACAGAGAGAAAAGAAAACGAGGAACCTGTTTTCCTTATTTTCTCTCTTCCACTCTCTTCTTTTCTCTGTATAGAGTCATACCTGGCCCTTCATTGTTCTGCCGAGGGTGTGCCAGGGGAATATAAACAGGGAGGTGAACTGCACATGATTGTTGAGGCATTTCAATAGAGAGAGGGAGAGATGGTGGCGGAGGGGGCCGGGGGCTGGGGTGGGAGCGTGATGAGGTTCATGACACAAATAGAATAGACTTTGTGTGGGACTTTGTGCTTTTCAGGGAGTTGTAAAGCACACATGAGGGGGTCATGTGAGCAGATGTGGCTTAGAAGGAAGAACAGGTCATCTCCTCACCGGGGGGTTGGTGATTCGATTCCCAGCTTCTCTAGTCCACATGTTGAAGCATCCTTAGGCGAAGACACTGAAGCCCAAGCTGCTCCCAGTGATATCACCAGTGTGTGAATGGGAAGCAGTGTAAAGGGCTCTGAGTGCGCGTCAATGTGTAGAAAGGTGCTAGGAACATTTAAAGATAGCAAGTCTTAGTGTTCTCACACAGTGATAAAAAGAAACGGCACTTGTTTTCATGTTTCTTTTCTCCACCAGCTCCCAAAAAAAAGCCATGTGAGTTTTATCATTTATGACAAGAAAAAGAGATGTTTTTGACTAAGTGAAAGTGACTTACACAACTGTTTGAAAGGTGTAACTTTATCAGGAGAGGATGTGCTTGTTGCTTCCCTCCCCAACATTTTCTCTCTGCTCTTTGTCCCAGAATGTGATGGACCAGTTCACCCCAAGCCTGAGGAACCTGGTGAACCTCGGGAAGAACTATGAGAAGTCAGTGACAGGTAAACACGGTTTTCACCCTCACGCAAGGCGTCTAATGATCAATAGGTTCTAATGTTAAATCTCTGAACAAGTGCCTATGACACCTGCACATAGCTCAGCATTTGAAATGACACCGATTTAGTTAGTCAGAATTCCTCTTGCATGGAATTTACCCCAAAATGACTCAGGAAGTCCTTTTGTACATGCCAGTAACTTGATGATGTTTGGCTGCCTCCTCATACAGCCATGACTCTTGCTGGAAGGACCTATTTTGATGCAGTCTCAAAGATCGGAGAGAATGCTATTGTGTCTCCAGCCTCCAAAGAGCTTGGTGAGTTTCATATATCTGCTCTAAAACAACCTACAGTGACTGAAACCTCAAGGGAGTCTGCCTGATATCTATGGTCGAATGTCTGCTGTGAGGCTATAGCTTTCAAAAGATAATGATTTCTGAGTTCCATTTCTGTTGAAACAGTTTCACATTTTGGGAAATACCCTGAATTGTTTTCTTATTGTGCAGACATGAGAGTGGTTTTGATTTTCTCTGCTAACTCTTGGATAGAAAGCAACTTATAAAGTGACTTTTACACTTAAATCACTGCAGTGCACATCATCAAAATGCTGTTTCCATGCAACTTTATCATGGTGATATGTTTTGCCTGCGTGCATCCTAATTATGCAGACATCTGGAAATAGCATTGATTAAATCCTTGTAGCACAGTAGCTGCAAAAATTCATTATCATCTGCTGTCTACCTCTCCCTGTGATTGAAGTGCTTGCTCTTCACTGTCTCCACTGTGAGGCTGCCATCCAGCTTGTGACTCATTTGCAACTATTTTGTTGGTGCTGAAATTTGGAGCTCACCTACTTTGTCCAGGGGTCTTGGTTCTTTGCTCTTACAATTCACCAGTTTTTAATTTAATTTAATTTTTTTTACAGTATATTCTGCTGCATCAGCTCCTTAATGTTGGGACTTTACAGGCTGATGTGAGGGGCAGGATAGCAGAGCAGGGCAGATGAAATACACAGAAAATGTTGTCATTTTGCTTTTAGTCCTTGAAATGAAAACTAATGATAAATATTACATCCATTTTACATCATCATGCATAGCTTCAAAAAACAGTGGTGGATTTTCTACTGGTATTTCTGTCTTCTCCTCTTTTGGATGGTATTTCCTTTCCTTCATGTCGTTAACTAAATCTGATGAACTGTCAGACTGTGAAGTGATTTTCTCACAGCTGTCACTGTGTGAAAAAGACCAGATAAGGTGTTTCTCTCATATGTGGTGAAAATGTAAATAAAGAAATTAGGAAGTTGGCAAATATTAAGGCAGCATAGCTGAGCATCAGGGCAGTGTCACTGTCAAAAAGCACCATGATGAATACAGTTCATAATGTCAGACTTTGTAAAATGCCCTAGAATAAAACATGAACTGAGCAGGATAAACATATTTTGAAAAAGCTTTTTTTTTATATACCTAACAGTATAGGTAAAAAAAAAACTACCCTAGCTAGAAATTAGCACCACAGACACAGAAATCCTGACGCTGTGAAAGGAAATTTATACTTTATAATTGATGACAATATAGATAAAACTGACATTTTAGAGTTCAGTGACCCTTTTACAGTAACTAGAGGCTCCATGCTCTGCTGTTACACGGTGCTGATCGAGTTTGTCGGGCTGCACCTGTCACGTAACAATGCCAGCACTTCGTTGCTTTAATAAGGAACATGTTTGTGTAGCACACCAGTGACATTTCCACCACATACCAAAACCTGTGTCGCAATATATGCTCAGGCAGGTTTGATTATAAACACATGGGAAGTTATGGATGTCAGTTTTAACACTGAAAATGGAATGTTAAAGGCTTCCCAAGGCTCCATGTTTGCACAAAAGATTTAATTTGATTGCAACAACAACAACACTGACCAGCGAAATATGACCTTAGGCTGGATTGTTTCATTATTTGACCCTAAGTTAAAGATTCAAAGTCACTGCTGATTAAAAAGTCACACAAACCCCTGGTTCCACAACTTCTCTCTATCTCGGATAGACGACGAGACAGTGTGAATTCTCTCAGGCATTGCAGCGGGCGAAGTAGCAAACAGGCTGAACAAACAGACAGACAGAGGAGACTGATCCTTATCCCCCCTGTTCCTCCATCTGCCTCACCAAACCCACCACAGTCTTTTCTGTGTGTCTGTGGAGGCTCAGTCTGTATGGAAACACTGGTGCACTGACTTCTACAGGATTTATGGTTGTTTATTATTTCCTCGAGTGGATCTTTAATCATTCACTCCATTTCTGACAGTAGAATACTTGATGTCGGCTCAAGAGTCAAAGAAAACAGCATAAAACTGCATCACTGTCAAAACTGACAGACCATTACTGTGTTCACATGACTACCTCTCTGCTGCAGATGCCTGTAAGGATTTTTTTTTTCCTATGAAGAGAGGTTGTTTTCCCCCCCCCCTCAGTGAATGGTGTGGTTGTAAAAAGCACTTGCGTCACTGAGGTTGGCAGGTATTTGCAGAAAGATACGTAAGGCTTCTACTTCATACCATGGTGCTCCTTCTTCTGTTACTACAGTTTGCCTACATTTTCTGATTCATATTATTGCAATAATTGGAGGTGAAAGGTAATAATATGGAAAGACTTCGAGTTAAATGCCACAACTGACTGACGGAAAATGACGTATGCATATAGATGAGTCCATGTCAGTGCTCATCTGCATTCCAATATCCTTTATAGTAATACACCAATAGCAATATTAATGTCAGCTGGTATTTAGATAACTCTGACTAGCTTCTTGTCCAATTTCAAATTGTCTTCATGTCCTAGCTCTTCCATCTGTGATGATTGAAGGGGCTGCTAACTACTACCAAGTGTGGTAAATACTGTATGTTGAGAATTTTTCTACAATGCAGTTCTATGGTCAGTGTAGCTGCTATGCCATATAGCATACTGTATATTTAAAAGTCCTAGTTTTCAGTGGGTGTATATTAGAAACTTCTTGCGCATGGGTGTGTGAATGGACTGCACAGGGAGTTGCCACTCCACTCTGAAAAGCAGCAGGTATTGAAAGACTGAAAATGTTGCTATAGAAAGAATAGCACAAACTCCACCCCTTCCACCTTTTCTCCTAGTTTTTGTCAAGCATCAGTAAAAAATCTGAAATACTGAAGTACACTTTCAGCTTGAGGAAAAAGGTAATGCCAGCCAAAGCTTCTTTTTTTTTTCTCCTCAGAGAATGTGAATTTAGAAAAGAGAGACCGCCGACTGTTTCCCACAGATAGCTTTTGTAACAGGTTCTGGCTTTTGAAAGGAGCCATTTCTGAAGAGAAGTCGATGTTATGGTTAATAAACGTGTGTGACATTTCAAATATCTGTCTTAGAGCTTCATAGGGCTGTCTCACTCTCTAGGCACAGCCTGTGGTACATGATGTATTTTTATTACAGGCACAGTATAACCAAAAGCATGAGGGAACCATAAACTGTTCTCAAAAGTCCATGACAAAACACTCTTTTCATTTTAGCCCCTGAGTTATATATTGTGTTTTAAAAACCTTTGATTTCAACTTCTTACTTTAGAAGATAGCAGCCAACCTTATGGCGCTGCTCCTAATGTTTGGAGAGATTTGATGTTCCCATGATCTACCATTCATGTCAAAAAATGAATAATAAAATAGATAAATACATAAGTAAATAAATAAAAATGGAAGTGTCATCAACCTCTTTAATCCACTCTGGGTATGACCTCTAGTTTGCTAAGCTAAGCTAAGCTAACAGTCATCAGATTCCAGTTTCATACTTGGTGTACAGACATAAAAGTGGTATCAATCTTGTAATCTAGCTCTCAGCAAGAAAGTTAATAAGTAAACATTTCCCACAATGTCAAACTAATTATTAAAACAACATAAGTGATATTACTGCTCATGAAGAACAGCTGAGGACAGTTAGCTAGATGTAATATTGTAGGCCTAAAAGGAGTCTTAGCCGCTGAAATATCTAGGTCAACCACACACACACCTGACTGTAAATAAGTTAAATATAGGAGGGTGGAGGCTGTTTTCAAAGCATCCACTCAATAGTTCAGTCACTTATGACATTTTTTGCCGTCACACTCCACAGGTCTCTAATGATCCCAGACCTCAAACTCCCTTGTTTTACATCCACCATTAAAATAAAGCCTCTCCATGCACTGGGAGTTTCCCCCGAAGGATCCATAAAGAGACAAGGGACTCACTTATCATTCAGTAAACTGTGACATTAAAGCATCTAAAACCCCTCACAAAATATCCCTATGATTTTTTTTTTTCTCTACTTGTCTATGGACCTCAGACCATCTCTTCCTTTATTTTCTAACCTTAAGAACATATGAAGCATATACAGTATGTAGTTTATAAGATTATTTGAGTGATGCATCTTTCAGTTATATCATGAGCTGTTGGCTGTGGTTGGTTGTTTTAATGAGTTTTGTAAAGGTGTCCTAAGCATTAGTCATAAGGAGCAACGAGTTCAAAGGGAGTTTGTTCACGTTCACCCCTTCGCGTGTAGTTAGTATAGTGACATCATTATGACTACAGGAAGGGAGCAGTTCATCTATTGTATCTACTGAACACAGTCTTTCCCAACCTACATCGAGATACCATTCAATCCTGAGTCACACAGGAGGTCACCACATTGCAACACAGACACATTGCAAGCCTGCATGAACAAGCCCAGCGTTGAATATCAGCAATGAACTGCTGTTAAAAGACAATGACCAATGGACACTGCCAAGTATAGCACTATTTCAGATGTTGCTTATACTTGGCAAATTGCCAGTTAGATAAAGTAGTGAATTAATGGTGAGTCAGAGAGAAGGTGACAGCAGGTCGGCTGCCAGTGTTTGCTCTGCCAGTGTCTCCTAACATTGTGCAGTTTCCTTATCTAATACAAAATATAGGCAGGGGTTGTGTTAATACAGGACATTTCCAGCTTATAAATCATGTCACCTGCTGTGAATGTCGAAGGTGTCGCTTTACATTAGTCTTATAAAACACCCAGTACATCTAGCTCAAAGAACACATACAAATGAATGGTTTTTAATAGAACCATTTTTAAGTAACAACATTAATCATTATAACAACCAAACAAATGTCTTTGTAAATGTTATGTTTGACCCTTTTTAGCCTACACTGTGACCTGTGGTCAACAGCACAGTTGGGTTATGAATGTTTTAACCTCATGGTGTTTGTTTTCATTTCTGCCTGGTTTAACTACAAAGCCACATATGTGGGATGTAAAGGTTAAAGGTTATTCTGTGTAGTCGTGAGCTACAGCATTTGACTCAGTATGATAAATTTGCGATGAGCTGGGTGGGGGTGTTGGATGAGCAACTGGAGGAGAGAATAGGCAAAATGTTCATAATAACAAATGATAATCCATATGAGTGAAACATGGATGGTGTAGTTTCCCACAGTTACTGTACCTGTTATCAACCTTATATGAATTTGTGTGAATGTAGAAATGTATATAAACAGGATGTATATTTGGACTCATTTAGGGGAAATTAGATTATCTTGGTATTTAAAATCCTCACAACAGAACAAATTGCTAGCAACAGACAGACAGGAGTTAAACTAGACAAGAAAAGCTGCCCTGTGTTGTTCTTTAATGAGACCCACATGAATAGCTCAGTAGATGTTATGATAAGTTTTGTAGCTATATTTATCTACGCTTTTACTTTTTTTTTTTATTTTGCTGCCTTAACTCTCACACCCTATTTCCATGGAGAGACAGCCAGCAAGCATGGGATCTCTCTTTTTTTTAATTTTTTTTTTTTTATTGTTCTCTCTCTCTCTCAACTCCACTTCACCCTCCTCAAGTGTTCATGTTACAGTTCATATCAGTCATGAGCTGTAATAAATAACATGCCACAGGTGAGCTTTCACACCTTGTTAATCCCAAAGGTGAAACCAGCAGGTGTAGCTACAACAGCCTTTTTGGACTTCTTTCTGTCCTCTCCCTTTTCCCTTCTACCTTCAGCCGGTTGTTGGGAGTTATACAAACAGCTTTGTGCCCAGCGCCGCCCCTCCCTGCCAAAGGACAAAGGCAGTATTTACCAGTACATTCTGGTGACCTTCAGAGGGTGATGCTGTTGTAGCTGGATGCTGTTTGCTGGATCACAGACATCCCATTCTGCATCAGCGTGTCATTGCTTTAGTTTGCTCTGTGTGCTAGTGTGCAGGGGAGAAAGTCAGGGTTTGGGTATGAGTGTTCAGGTGTGTTTAGGTGGAGGTGCATGGACAACTGTTAGAAACCTTGGCCTAAAAAATCATAAAGTAAACCAGTGCTGTTTTTACTTTCTTCTGAAGGTGCTGAAATCTATGCGGACAGTTCATCTTTGCTCTCTTCCCTCACAGTGACACTGCCTCAGGTCCAGATACAACGTATGACACGCTGTTTTTCCAGGTTTCACCAGAACGCCGTGTCCTGTAGTATAAACCCTGAGTCTAGATTTTGTCCCATTGTGATAGAGGTAACACTATAAGTGCTTAGCTACAATTGTCCACCTCTGTTTACAGTGTTGACTCACTCCCATTGTCTCGTGTCATATGCTGCTCTATCTACAGTGTCGCCTGTTTGTGAATGTGAAACTGTTCTGTATCTGCACAATACCAGAACATTTCCTAGAGATTACATATTGACAGCTGTTCAGATACTGAAAGGAGACAAGTCATCTGTAAAATATGGGAAATATGGGCTGGAAAGATGTATCCAAGAATTGGCAAAAGCAGGTTGTGTATATTCAAGAAATTTGGAGAGTGTTTATTGTTGGTGATTCTCAACAAATGTATAAATTACTCCTCCTCCTGAGTCTGCATCTAGTTATACATTGATTTTTGGATGCTTGCTCTCCGGTGTGCCACTGCTCTCTGTAACCTACATCCCTTAGAGGATACTGATATTCTCTAAGGGAAAGGATATAAATATAGAAAATGACTGGCCTTATCCTTCAAGGGAAAATTCAGCATTTTGAGAAATATATTTATCTGCTGGGACCCTAGAGTTAGATGAGAAGATTAACATCACTTTCATGTCTGGGTAAATATGAAGCAACATTTAGTATTTGGCTAGCTTAACTTAGCACAGTGAATATGGGAAAAAAGGTAGCCCGGCTCTTTTCATAGCCAGAACCCTAAAGCTCACTAATACGTCTTAGTCCATACAAAAACCAAAGTGTAAAAAAACAACATTGTGATTTTACAAGGTGTTATGTGCTGCTTCTGGAGTGGTATTTCTTGGCAAGAAAGCTAATTAGCAAATTTCCCCAAATCCCCAACTCTTCCATAGAGCTCCTTTGATTCCAGTCATAATAAAAATCCACAAGGTCACAGATTCAGAACAAATTTCTCACTCTTTTTAATCATGTCTGAAATACTAAAAGCTATCCTCATGTCTTTTTAGGTATGGTTCTAATGGAGATTGCCGAATCCCACAAAAAGGTCCATAATGAACTGGAAGAGCATGTATGTATAGTTTAAAATATGTTTAATTTATATTTTTTCTTGTTAATACATAAGAAAATCAAAATGAACTATGAAGTCATCCTACTAATAAGTACTGTTTGCCTGACCTTATTCTTCTGAGCTACATTAGTGTCCAAAAACTATTAAAAACACATCAATGAGTTGCACTGTTGCATTTGGTGACATGTTCCTACTGAGTCATTCCTAGAAAACACTCGGTTGAGCACCACATCTGCCACTAAAAACAACAAATGTAATATGTAGTGGAAACAACAGTGTCAAGCTGTTTTAAAATGATTTATCTTTTACAGTTTTCTAAAAATTTGTCTTTACTAGTAATGGATGAGGATTGGAGCTTGGAGAAAATATTGAGATATGGTCTTAAAAATTGTAAGTTTTGATTGGCCATTGTTAGGCTCTCCTCTCTGGATGTGTAACCTCTACAACAGTTTGAACTCATTTCTTTAATTTTAGAGAGAGTTTAAAATGTGCGTTTGACAAGAGAAGTCACAGAAGGATTCCTGGGTGAAATCTCATCTTCGACACCAATTCACTCATCTCCTATTGTAATGAGCCAAGTGACTGAACTGAACATTGTGTTTAATTAGGATGGTGTACTGTATGTACAAATATGAAGTGTGTGTTTTCTCACTGCAGTTCAAGAGGTTCCACACAGAGATTATCACAGAGCTGGAGAAGAAGACAGAGATGGATGTTAAATACATGACTGTAAGTGTCACTATAAATTGTATAGTTCTGTCCATCAGCACATGTATCTGTTAGTCCATCCTTTCTTTAGTTACAGTACAAGAGTTTTTATAAAGATATATTTCAGAACTCCTGAGCAAAATCTCAGTGGAAAAGTCAGCACATTGCTTTAGTTCTTTGTACGTGGATGTGTCCAGTTTTGCATTAAGATGCGAAAAGTGATACTTAAGTTCCTCTGTTGATGGACAGTTTCAAACGGAGAGATAATTTCTGTCTCTCTGCAACTGAAAAACATCTGTGTAATGAAAACTGCTCATCATCCCTTCCTTTGTCTAATGCCTCTGCTGTCAAATGTCTCCTGTAGGCCACCTTCAAGCGCTATCAGACAGAGCACAAGCTGAAGCAGGACTCCCTGGAGCGCTGTCAGACAGACCTGAAGAAGCTTAGGAGGAAAAGCCAGGGAAAGCACCCATCAAAGTATGAACACAGAGAGAGCGAGGTGAGACTAAGACCAAACCAAATCCCCGGACCTTTTTTTCACTTCAAAACATAGCGTGCACTTTTCTCCAAGCATGGTGCTGTTGCATTTTTATGCTCTGATGCCTCTGAAAAGATCATTTATGTAATGGGGGGGGGGGCAAGAAGTTCTTATGATATTTACATATCGGCACAAAGAAGGTGTGGAGGATAATTCATGACATCCAGGTTTTGCTTTCCACTAACGACATTAGACTGGAGCATCAGTGACAGACAGTGGAGTTGTATGTTCCAACACCTAATACATAAAAGTCCTACAAGTGTCCTATGATGTCTAACATGCAAGTGATGAAATGACATAATAAAAGCTCTAGACAAGGCATTAAAACCAGCAAAGGCGCCACCACACCTACAATTGTTTGCAGACTGTCTGCATTTACATGCAGAAGAAAGAGACCACGACACCACAGCTCACTGCATTCAGCTGCAGACAGAAGATAGGGTTTTTATTGAAGGTGTACACACCCCAAGCTGCACAAATTACACAATGCATTCAGGCATATTGTCCATTCTTTGGTATCTTCTGTTATAAACTATACCAAAGCAAAACTATAAACTATTTGTTGCATGAATTATTTTTCTGAGGCCCCTGCAGCTCAACATACTGTATGTGCGTTCCTAAAGTTGTCATGGCATGATTACCAGATGCCAAAGACAACATGCAAATGAATGTGATCATGTGATGGCTAGTCCAGCTTTGTTTCATTGCTGATGCAAATATTAGATGTGTTATTCTGTGTAGTTTCTTATGCTACAGTGTGCATTCTAGCAAAGAGAAGGCAAAGGAGAGCAAGAGAAAGTGACACAGGCTGAAAGTTTGAAACATTGAGCCACAGGACATGCATAACAGCTGTTTACAACCAGATACGTCACTGCTGAGTGAACAGAAGTACACAAACATGGCCGAGAAATGTTACTAGTTATTATGTTGTCTTTACTTTGCTTGAATGGGTGTATGCTGCTTAGTGGCCCTGAGTGTACTGGTTGAAGTGTACGCCTCCAGACGCCTGAGTGTTACAGTCTTAACACCTCAGACAGCAATTTGCTTTGTAAATCAATGTGGCGAGATGGAGGGGACAGCACAGCTCCAGTAATAACTTAAATCTGTCTCCTGTTTTCATTTATCAACTGTTCCTTGGTTTGTTTGTTTTTTTGTTTTTTGTTTTTTACCTCATTTTGATTATTGATTGGTTTGGAGATTTTTTAAACAAAGCCTGTAAATGAAAAATCAAGAAATAACTGCTGGTTGTAAAAGGCATGTTTAGCTGCACAGTATTTTTTTTTTTTTCTTGTGCTGCAAAGTTTGCATTAGTCTCCTGTTTTTTTACTTACACTTGAATGGCCCCTTTTAAAAGACACCTCCACATCTGAGTGGATCTTACCTGCGCCTGCCCTTCTGGGGCCCCTTGTCACCCAGAAGTGGCTTTTTTTTTCCATTATCTGATAAAATTGACACCAGTGCACTGTGAGGTAGACAGGTCTGCCTACTAATAATTATGTGTAGAGCTGCCAATTATGATCTCAACCCTGCCTGCCTGCTCTCCCACCTCTCACTGTGAGTCTGGCCAATTGTTGTTTGTGAAAATGGCAAATGAACTTTGATTCAGCATCTGACAAACTAATGTAGAGAGACAGACAGACAGAGAGAGAAAATGAGAGCAGACAGTAGAGGAGGTGTCTTTCATAGAGCCCTTAGAGACAGGCTGCTTAACATCACCATGACAACCTGGGGAAAATGGGTGAGATGGGGGGAGTAGATGGAGAATAACAGGATGGAAGGAGGCTGAGGAGTGATTTTAAGGAGTCTAATATGCCTTATGTCAGGTCCAGCCACAGATCTGCACTGTGTGACAAGCAGGATCGTTCTCAGGCTCTCTGTGGGGATCGTGTGTCTTTCAGCACACTGATTTGGTTTCTCACTGTGCCAAGATGGATCCATGAGCAACAGGAGACCCAAATAAACTTGTTGCTAGGTGCAGAGACTTTGATTACTAGGCTCATTAGCACCTCGAGAAACAATTTGTGACCACCAAGTTATGTTGTCATCAGTTTTAGAGTCAAGAGTCAGTTTCTCACTCAGGTCAGTGTTAAAGAAACACTTTCTTGATGATAATAATAATGCTGGCAATTGAAAATAATAATTACAAATATAAAAGTATTTGCATCTTTAAAAATTCCACTGAAATAACAGAGCAGACGTTACTGCTGAGTGAACTGAAGTACACAAACATGATGTTTTGCTAGTCACTGTGTTGAAATAGCTTAACAATAAATACTGAAAATTAGAAATAATTCAAACTATAATGATAACAAATTATAAAACATTCATATATGTTTATTTTTTCTACAATATATATTTCTATTTAATTTCTTTTTCTTCATTTATGTTATGGTAAAGTATCTTACTATTTACTATAGTGTATTTATTCATTTAAATTTTAGTTTTTATTTTACTTTATTTTTATGATTTATATTCTCTGTCCTTTTTACTCCTATTTCATGTGTTTATTTGATCAATTATCAGTATTTTAAAAAATGTAATTTTGTTTTCATTTAATTTCATCTAGTTGTTTGATTAATAGATTTCAGTCCCCTGTACCTCTTCAGGAGGCTGGTGAAAGACTGCGCAAAACAACTTATCACTATAACAAAAATCTTTTGCATGCAATGCAATACAATGCAAACCATTTTATTGCTCATTTGAAACCCACCTAGTTATTGATCCTCTGACCTCCTTGCTGTCCTGTGACCTTACCTGCAGTATTTGCAGACCATCTCATCGCGCCAGATGGACATGCAGAAGTTCATCGCTGACGGCTGCAAAGAGGCCTTACTGGAAGAAAAGAGGCGCTTCTGCTTCCTGGCAGACAAACACTGCATGTTCTCCTATCAAATTAGCAACTTCCATGAGAAAGTAA